GTGGGAGCCGCAATTGGCCGAACCTGCGGACGCAGCAAGTAAACAAACCGGCCCGGCCGCCAGGGGCTTTCCCTGAACAAGGGGCAGACCAGCTTTGAGAAACACTGCTCTAGACTGTCAATCACAAGTAACATCTGAAGAGTGGGCATCTATGTGAAGCAGCATAGCTGGAGAGAACATGTTTGCTAACAACTCAGAGTGCAACAGAGGGTCCTGTGGCACCTTTGAGACTAACAGAAGTATTGGGAGCATAAGCTTTCGTGGGTAAGAACCTCACTTCTTCAGATGCAAGTAATGGAAATCTCCAGAGGCAGGTATAAATCAGTGTGGAGATAACGAGGTTAGTTCAATCAGGGAGGGTGAGGTGCTCTGCTAGCAGTTGAGGTGTGAACACCAAGGGAGGAGAAACTGCTTCTGTAGCTTATGCTCCCAATACTTCTGTTAGTCTCAAAGGTGCCACAGGACCCTCTGTTGCTTTTTACAGATTCAGACTAACACGGCTACCCCTCTGATACTTAACTCAGAGTGCGTAACTACCCTGGGATAATCTGGTTAAGCAGCCGCATACACGGCCACCATGGAATGAGGCATCAAACTTGCACTGAGCGCGATTGGGGGTCTTCTGCAGAGCCATGTTTCATGACTCAAATATCAAATTAGCTGCCTGTTAGCAATCGCCAGGTCCAGGACACAGTTCTAGTCACTATGAATTAAAATACATCATCACAGGATGACTCTTGTTAAACAAAGTTGTTTAACAGATGCAGAATTTTTGGCATCACAAAACAGTGCTAGTGAAACATTTCCTCTTCTAACCTCAGTGGAGGTGAGGGGAGAAAGACTTTGTTTGTCTAACCTGTTTTAAAGAGCAGGTTAGACAAACACCTGTCAGGGATGTTCTAGATAATACTTAGTCCTGTCTCAGTGCTGGGGACTGGACTAGATGACCTACTGAGTTCCCTTCCAGTCCTACACCTATGATTCTTTGTTAGCATTCAGGACAAATGAAACAGCTGGTTCCAACATTGCTTTCTTACTTTTTTTTGTTTTGTTTTTTACACATTTTATCAGACAATTTTCGCATGAGCAAGGCAGAAACGCTTCCCTGAATATGAATCCTGAACCCATGTGTTGGAAGCGACCAAGAGTTTGAAAGGTCTGAATACCATAAACTTTGCAAGAGGGTCCTTCAGAGCTGTACTGAATTAAAGGGTCTCTGCTCAAGACCCTAAAATTCAAAGTGAGCTCCTGAGCATCAGTAGAAATGCTTAGGCCTGGTCTACATTGGGAAAATTGTCTCCAAATCACTAACTAGTTTGAAAACAAATTCCCCTAAATCTATTTTAAAACCAGTTGGAGCCATAATGTAGACTAGGCTCCTGGTTGCCTGAACCTGTTTTAAAACCACCTAGTATACTATATCTCTACATAGATTTAAAATCAGTTTAGCAGAGCCAGTTTTAAAATGTCAAGTATCAGGGGGTAGCCGTGTTAGTCTGTATCCACAAAAACAACAAGGAGTCCGGTGGTACCTTAAAGACTAACAGATTTATTTGGGCATAAGCTTTCGTGGGTAAAAAACCCACTTCTTCAGATGCACCAGACTCCTTGTAGTTTTAAAATGGTTAGCATTCAGGGTAAATTTCTCCAGTGCAGACCAGGCCTTACATCCTGCAATCTTTGTCCATGATTATGAGGCACTGACGTGAAGTTGTACTTCCAGGACAGAAACACTTGGGGCTTTCTGAGTGACTGGTTTGTTGCAAAGCATACTTACCACAAGAGGAAGGAAATACTGGTAAGTTTAGTACCGGAAATGTTTAATACAGCAAGGTAGGATCAGAGTCCCTTGTCTTGATCGTGGATTGTCTATCTGACAAGCTAGAGAAGATCTTGTACCTACTGCTGTGTTGAACTCTGGAGAACAACTGTGTGTATGTGAAATAGCCCCACCCCAATTTGCGATAATACACAAGGCTTGACATTAAGGAACAGAAAGATTTTGTTCCTGGGTGAGGATACATTCCTTTTATAAAAAGAAACTAAAGAGCCAGGCTAACTATAAAATGCATATACGTATGTATATAAACAACCGACAAGTGGCAGGAACAACACCCAGGACATACACGAATAGGAGTTTTCTTTCTGACAAAGACTCCAGCTGGTAGTGTTATGGAACTAAAACTGCCTAAGGCTACGCCTGGTCTTCCTCGCAATGCACATGCGCTCCAGGACCCTGTCAGAGGAAGACTAGACCTCTAGAAACTGCTGGACAGAGCCCATCTTGAGTATACATGGTCTGACTGCACATTATTGCAAAGCTTCTGCCTGAAGCCCCCTAGAGCGCTGCCAGCCCAGATACATAGGAGTGTCAGAGGAGAGCACCTTTTCTAACTATCTGACTTATTATCTATCTAGCTGTTCATACTGTACTAGGAGCCTGAAGAAATAAAGGGGAAAAAACTCGCTCTCTCACAAGAGAGAATTTAGATTTCCAAAGCAGCTTTGGCATTTTCAGACTGACATTCAATATGTCTGAGGTAGAACTCTGGCCCTTTTGGAAAATAATATATAACAAACGACTGTGTTGGGTGAAGACTTTGGTTAGGAAATCACGTATATGAAATGGCTAGACTTTACTCTTTCTATGCAACCATTTTAACTACATTCCATCGGTCTGGGTCTTATTAGTTTTAATTAAATTAAATGAAATGAGTTTGTGCTCAGACTGAGACAGTCTGTGCTGACACCAGGCTGCCTGGGAGATACTGTTGTATCAGATGATTTTGCTCTAAATGGAGCAGAGACTCCTTTATGTAGGAAGATTAATACTGTATAACGAAATGCTTGTTTACATTTATTTTCCCCTGAAAAACAACTTTCCTTCATTATCAAATTCTGCTGGAATCTCTAACAGCAGCTGGTGGATTGGATCGGGGACTGCCTGACCTATTACACTGCTACAAACAGACAACTCCAGGAGGCAAGGAAGGGTCCGTATTCCACGCCCAGTTCTAGCTCAGATTGTACTTACAGGAATGACCACAGAAGCTGGCAAAGCCAGAGCCTCATGGGGCAAATTACTTGATTCCCACTTTTGTTGAGGGGGGAGAATCTTCATCCGAACCTTGGCTTTGAATCCTCCTTTCCCACCCCAGAAAACAAACCCCTCACCCGCACGTGGAAGTTTGCTGTGCTGAAACTACACCAAAGTCTAATCAATTTCTCTCACAGGGCTGAGGATGTGTGTTGCTCATTGATTTCTAAAAGGTTCCCTTGATACCTCCCTTAGTAATTATAGTGTCTTCAACAAGCAGTCAAATTCTAGAGTTGGAATCCCCAGTGAAATTCAATTGAGACGTCGCTTGAGAACAGGAAAAAGGAAACAAAACTTGGACACTATGGCAGGGCTTATCGTTTTTACACTCTAGCTGTCTCTCCAAGCTCGCCCAGCAGACAGGAGATGGACAAGTGCCCATAAAGAGGATGCAGACAGCAAGTGCATCAGAGCTGCCTCGCTCATTTACAGTTTTACCTGCGGACGCTGATTTAGTCAGTTATGAAAAGCAAAATATCCATAGGCCCTTTCCTACTGCTGCTTTCCTAATGCCGCCAAGAATAATTAACGAGTGTGATATTTTCTTTCAGCACAAACGTATCAAGATTAAACCAGGTTTGTGGGGGAGAAAAGCTATAGGTCACTGTGAAATTTCCTAAGCTGGAAATGTATTAGTGTAATTAGTGCTCACTAGCATATCTAAGTGAAACCAGAATGCCAGGCTAAGTTCTAATGTAGGCGACAGAGGTTGCTAATTACCCACTCTCCCAGTTAAAGGCTGTTTCATGCTAGCACAAGAGACAGAGCACCACAGAGGGCTTGCACAGCGAGGGCACACATTAAATGTCCATGTTATAAGGAGAAAACATAGGAATGCCCTGGCAGCACTGGACAAGGCAATGCCTTTGGGTGCCAGTAGATACCACAGGCAGGCAACACAGGCTGCATTAACTTATTGCAACCAAGGATCTTTCTAGTCAGGAGGCACCCATATCAACTCCACTCCCTTCTGCGCTTTCAACGGAATACCATAGGCTTCCTTACTTCCAGCCCCGTGGTATAGTGCTGCTATGCATTGTTAAACAGCTGCTGTGTTTCACCCCAGATGTGGCTGCACTTGAGCAATAGATTAAGCAATCCCTTTATGTAGTTTAATTTTGTAAAGGGTTTTGAGATCCTGGAGGATGGAAAGACATGACAGAAACGCAAGAGATCATAATTAAGAGGCCCAAGTGCATTTCCATGCATTGGAGCAGACTAGTTTGTGCCAGAGTGTTGGAGAGAAGCCTGCGGCATGTATTGCACATTCTTGTATTTAACTCGTTAAATAAGAAATGAGAAAGTGCATCCTGGTAACCATGTTTCTGTTCTTGAAATCTACAGACCAGCCATTTATCTGCTACTCGGCTTCTTGGTTTTTCTTTATCCTTGTTCTGGCGAATTTGGAGACTGGTGAAGACTTCCAGAGAACAAAGAGTGTTGTCTTGAAGGCTCTGGGCCATGACGTAGCAGCCTCTGTCCTTGACTCTAGCATCCCGTGTGCTATGTTCTCCATTCTGTTCTAGAGAGGTTCTTACATGCACTCATCACTGTAGGATCTGAGCGCCTGCTGAGCTGGGGTGAAGTGTCTGACCTTGCCCTGGATCTGAGGCAGTCTCATTGTGAGCTATCCTCCTCAGCCAACACCCCGACTGACAGAGGAATCTGTGTGATGTGCCCAAAGGCATGTCCGTGCTAATCTCTCTCTCCAGCAGGCCATGATATCCTGCCAGAGAAAACTGGACCCCAAAGGCTGGTTTTCATATCATAATGGGGACAAAGTTAACGTCTGGGTTTAGGTGCATAGCTGCACTTCAGAGTAATATGCAAAAAGCTACAATGGCAACAGGCCGGGAGGGAAGAGCGAAGGAGAAGGGAAGCCTTACTTGCTTTGCGGCCTTACCTGAACGGAGCTGCTTGATTCGCCCATTGCTAGCTGCTGTATCCACAGGAAGGAAGTCCTTGAACCAAGAGATTTCAGGATCGGGGTTGCCACTGGCAGCGCAGAGCATAGTGGCTGTGCGGGCCTTTTCTACCACCTTCAGCTGCGGGCCCATGTCAATGGTTGGAAAGCCGGATGGGAGGTGATCTTCTGCAATAGGTAAACAACACACACCAGACTGATGAGTTACAGTTCACACAGTAATGGGATCATAGTCCTGGTGACAGCAGTGCCTCTGCTGGAGAGCATTACCCAACTCCCCCACTGCGGCTATGTCCACACTACGGCCTACATCAGCAAAATGTACGTCGCTCAGGTGTGAGTATTCCACCCCGAGCACCATGTTACACCGACATAAGCACTCGTGTGCACAGCGCTATGTTGGCAGGGGAGTTTCTCCCGCCGACAGAGCTTATGCCCTCGTGGAGGTGGGGTTTTTATGCCAATGGGAGAGCTCTTTCCTGTCGGCATAGAGCATCTTCACCAGACGTGCTGCAGCGGCTGTACGTATAGACATGGCCTGAGAAACTTGCAAAACCCCCAAAGCACTATAACGAGCACTCATTGCAGCAACAGGGGCAGCCGCTAAATGTAACTCTGTTTGAATCAACTGCCTTGGGACATGCCCATGATTTTCACTGATATGTAAGCTCCATCTATTGTCGTTAATAAACTCTAACAGCAGCTGTTTGTCTTTATGCAAGAAGAGAGATGTGTTCTGGATGCTACACAGACATGCAGCCAACACCAGGGCCAAATAGGCCAAGGCACCTTAAAAACAAACATACATACTAAACACCACAAGTTGTCAAGAGAGCAGAAAGAAACACATTTCTCCTTTCTACTAGGCATGAGTCTTCCCAACGGAAAAATCCATTACAAATCGCTCCCTGCCCCAAAACCTGGTGTTAAAGAGCTTATTAGAAACAAACGAATGTAAACTTTACATCTAACCACGAAGAGCAATGCCAGGCTGTGCATTAGGAAGCTCCCGGTGGACTTCATAGGCAGCTGAAGGCATCGGAGGTGTGTGAGAGATGACTAATGCATGTGCTGGCATGGCTTACTGCTATATTATAAATGAAAGCATCACAATGCTGAACTGTTAAAAGCACAGATATAATAGACTGGAAAGGAAAGGCCAATTCCGTGTGCTGCTGCCGTACGTTCACAGGTGGGCTTGGCTGAGTATGTTAGGTAGCCTGTGCCAAAAAACGGAGGAAGTTCCAGAACAGCCATTCAGCAAACAAGTGCAGGACAGAGCTTATTTATTCCCTTCCGTGGCAAGATGTACTGTACTCTACTAAGCCTGAACGGCACTAAGAAAGGACACGCTTCCACGGGAAGAGAGAGCCAGGAAAACATTAAGGATCCTTAAAAGCACTAAAAATTCAATTATTTTCAGCAGGCCCCTATTTTCCCTAGTTTGAGAGCAGAACTTAAGCAAACCCTCTCCTCGCCTGCTAATCCGACCCTTCCACTCACCGAAACGTTCTCCGGCTGCAGAATCTTGCCTGTATGCTCGGGGTTCTACTGATAGCCATATTTGGGGTCGGGAAGGAATTTTCCTCCAGGGTAGATTGGCAGTGGCCCTGGAGGTTTTTCGCCTTCCTCCGCAGCATAGGGCAGGGGTCGCAAGCTGGAAGATTCTCTGCGACTTGAAGTCTTTAAATCACGATCTGGAGACTTCAACAGCTGAGTTAAGGGAAAGTGGGTGGGTCAGCTTATGTGGCCTGTATCATGCGGGAGGTCAGACTAGATGACCATAATGGTCCCTTCTGACCTTAAAGTCTATGAGTCTATGAGTTTCAAACCTACCAGGCCCCACAGTTCCCCCAAAGTCCCACAAGATTGTGACCCCACCATACTCCGATTTTTACATTCCTTTCACTGGGATCCTACCCTCCCCATATTTTACCTACCGTCAGAGAAGCACTAATAACAAGATATTTTGATTGCCTCTTTTATTTTAAAGTTCCACATTTGCAGCACAAACTAGGACCATTTGGTGACTAATCTTAAACATCCTTTCCTAAGATCTCGGGAGAATCCCCAAGACACTTCCCGCCTGTTTGTACATCAAGATTCTACAGCACAAGGCAACATCTGCTGTAAACAAAACAACCCACTAGAATGTTGCTTCTGTGTTTGGATGCGAGGGGCAGCCAGGGTTTTCTAAAGGGAAAAAGCTACTGAGGCTTATTAAGAGCATAAGCCATTTTTTGTCTCCCAGTCTGGCCTCCCTAGAAACCTCCCCCGTATCAGCAAACATAAGAGGTTTTTTGAAAGGTATCACTGAAAACTAGTTCCTTTTTTTTATTTGCACTCCATTGATTTTCAAAGACAAAAGGCATACATACAGAGCCAGCATTCAATAACAAGCAACAACAGCACTGACACAACCACAGCACACATTGCACCTTAGTTCACAGGAGACACAACACAGTATAGTGTGGCATAGACTAAACTGCGAAGGGAGATACACAAACAGTGGTAAACAATTACATTCCCTCGGCGCACAGCCAGGTGTCCTTAAAGCCCAGCCCCTTGCTATCTGCGATGTGAAAGCAGATGTTCAGTCTGGGGAGGTTGAAACCCCAAAGGGCTTTAATTTAATACCACGCTGAATATTTACAGTCTTTGTTGGCTTGCTTAAGCGTTTACACAGAACACGCTAAGCAAAATATCACGTAATTAACTTGATCCAAAGCATGCATGGAGATTTAGCATTAAACTATCACTAAGGCTGCGAGTTTGTCACGGAAAGTCACGGATTCCGTGACCGCTGTGACTTCTGCAGCAGCCGGTGCGCCTGGCCTGGGGACAGCTCAGGCAGTCCCTGTGCCAGTTGCACCGACTGCTGCTGGGGCAGTCTCGGGCCACCCCCGCAGCAGCAGAGTTTAGGTGTGGGAGGGGGTTGGGGCACGAGATGGGGTGAGGAGGACTCTGGGCGGCGCTTACCTGGGGGGCTCCCCAGAAGCGGGGACATTCCCCTCTCTCAGCTCCTAGCTCTGTGTGCTGCCTCCACCTGCAGGCACCGCCTCCGCTGCTTCTATTAGCAGCAGTTTCTGGCCAATGGGAGCTGTGAAGCTGGTGCTTGGGGCGGGGGCAGCTTCCCCTTTCCCCCAAGCAGGAGCAACGAAGAGGGATCTTGCCCCTTGCTCCTACCCTTTGTCCAGAGCAGCTGTTCTGCCCTTTCTTCTCAGCACCTGCCATCACTGTGCTTGTTCACCAGCTTGGGCGGCAATGACTTTTCTCGTGGAGACTGGCACCGGACACATGCCCCCTTCTCCCATCTGCTGCACTGCTCCAAGCACCAGCTGGGACATGTAGTCAGTCCCAAGCTTCAGTCTTACAGGACCACAGGGATCAGCTCCAAAGTGCAGCGGTAAACACGTGGCTAACAGCCACTGACATAGGAGGACAGCAGGCGTCCATGGTGAATACAGCAGTTGGCAGCAGAATCCTGAGGAGTCAGTCCGGTGAGCTCTCCAGGGTCAACGCTATCGATCACAGAGAACCGACACTTCGGGGCCTGCTCTCTCATCGGGTGAGATTTATGTGCCTAAGACCCAACAATATTACTAGCCGTCCTGAGCTGCGCGCATATCTGTTAGGGAGACGAAATACACTATGGTGTGGTGAGAGCCTTTTATTGCCACGAGCCTGGTCACGGTACACGCAGGTTGTAAAGCCACGAGTCTGCTTTGCAGGCCATCACAAACAGGCATCAATAAAACGTTTACTCCACAACAGCTGGGAGTTTGTTTGTGTCAACGTATTTCTCAGAAAGACTAGTTTAGACGAAACGATAGCGAAAACTGTAAACATTTTTATGGGCACTATTCTTCATATCCCTCAGCCTGTAAAGTCAGGCCCCCTTAGTGCCATAAGTCCAATTGCTCAGGCTGCAGAGGGAGAGCAAAAATGATGCCCAATATATTTTGAAAATAACAAAAAATTGTCTGAAGTCCCTTTTCTATATGTTCCATAATAACTGTAAGGTTAAATCTCGCACAATCCATCAAAAGCTCTATACCCCTGGAAAGGCACATTCTCAGCTCATTGCGAGTGAGATACTGGGCCATAAACCTGTCACGGTGCTAGAAATACAGTATCCTAGAGCGCCCCTCATCTCAGGTGCTCAGTCCAACGTAACTCTTGGGGGCTCAGTAAGAACGAGTAACATCCAAAGCTGTTTGTGCTTTCACACCTGGCAGCTGTTTGAAGTTGCTCAGAGGCCTGAAGAGCTAGACACAGGCTGGGTGGAAATGGAATTACGGGCAGAATGCAGGTGGAGTGAGGGCGGTGGTGCATTTTTGACCACCTGGGTATCAGCACCGCACAGAGAGGGCGGTGCATACGTAGAACCTGTCCATTCAGTGAATGGGCCGGAGCTCTCTCCAAGGTGAAATCATTTGTTCTTAAAGCGATCCTGAGAAGAGGCCTGCGCTATCCTGGGTACGTCACTCTGTTCTCTCCTGGATAGGAGAGAGCACGCTCCACTGATGAACCTTTACGACAGTTCTATACTTGATAGGTGATTGGGATTACTTTATACATTTCACAAGCCTCCTAAACGCCCTCAGAGGCATTGAAATGTAGTAGCAAATGAAAAATATCAGTGACAGTAAGATGGTCATTTATAAAGCCGTGAGTGGCAGGCAATATTAACTAATGGAAGAGGCAGGCTAACAAGGCTCCAATGCACAATCCACTCCAGTGCCTCTGCTTGCTGAACAAACAGCCCACACTCCTCCGGCACAGGCTACACAGAGCTGCTGCTCAATTAACGCAAAACAATCAAAAGCAACCGAACAATTTCGGGGCCCAGCAGAGGGGCATCATTTTCTGTGACAAGAAGCAGCACTGAGGTGGGTTTGTTCAGGCTGAACAAATCTACCCCAAAAGCTTGTTATTAATAGCTCTGAGAAGAGAGTCTGCCTTTCTGGGTTTGTATTTTCACAGACGTCCGTGTCACCGCACAGCAGAGAAGTGCAATTTCAAGCCAAGCTCTCTGAAAGCTCCCATTGCCCGTGTGGGGAGTGGCTGGGAGGAAGCAGAGTGACTAGTGCCAAGTCTCATGCAGCTCAATGAACGCCCAAAGCACTGGCACCATCTTGCTACCTGCCTGAGGAAAAGGCGGTGCA